CGCTGGCGGGCCCCCCCCCCCCCCGCCGCCGTCCCCCCGACCAGCCCCCTACACCCTTCCAGGGCCCAAAGCTGCCTGCAGCTTCCCACGGGGGACCCTCAGGGCCATTGCTCCTGGACCCATTTGTCCAGCTGGGGAGACTGAGGCTTGCAGAGGCGAGGGATTTGCCCAGGATCACACAGCACGCTGCCCGAGCTTGCAAGCCCCTGGTCTCCACCCCTTCCATGCCCCAGCCAGAGGGACCGCAGGCAAGGAGGGTGGAGGCTGGCGGAGGAGGACTCCAGGAGGCTGGGGCAGGGGGTGAAACTGAGGCAGCCTGTGGCAGGGGGTGGGGCCTCCTAGCAGGGCACGTACCAGGCGGGAAGGGGCCAGCCGAGGACAAGACCAGGGGTCTCCGAGAAGGGGAGCGAGTCGTCCTAGGCTGCAGAGCCATGAGGACAGAGCCTGATGGGTCCAGAACCGGGACTCTGGCTCCCAGCTTCTGGCGGAGCTAGGGAGGGGGCGAGGGAGGCCTGACACTTGACCTCAGGTCGGGGGTCGTGCTGTGCTGGCTGCAGGCCTGCAGCTATTGGCAGACGGTGTCCAGGGCAGTGGCTGGACCCCAGAGCCCCCAGTGCCCTGTGGCGTTGGGAGATGGTGGCTGAGGGCAAAGTGGCCCAAGGATAAGCCCGAGGCCCAGACTCACAGACGCTCGAGAGTCCCAGCCGCTGTGGGTCTCCAGAACCACAGAGCGAGCGTGGGGCTTCGGCTGCTGTGGGTAGGCCCTCTGCAGGGCAGCCGCACGTCCCACCTCGGCTGAGACCAGAGGCCACCACACTGACCAGGCCCGGCTGCCTCCAGCCACAGCCCAGCCTCCTGGGGACCCTCCAAGGCTGGCCTGGTCACAGCTCAAGAGGCCCTGACCATCCTCCTCCGTCCCCACTCTGGCTTCAAGCCCCAGCCGGGGTCCAGACGGGCGCTCACTTGGTCAGGGTCACCTAGGAGCTGGGGCGGCCCTGGGTCTCCCTGCTTTGGGCTTTGGGGCCCCCGCAGCCAACTCTCTTAAGTCCTGGCGGTGTGAACAGCCCCCCACTTAGTGCTCAGAGCGCGGGGCGTTTCCTCTCTCCCCCGCTCCCCTGCCACATCTCACCCCATGGGTGGCTGGGAATGTCCCCATTGCTGCAGAAAATAAAGCTGGTGCAAACGACGGGGTGCCCTGCCCGCTCAGCCCTTCCCCAGCCCCCTCCACCTCGCCTCTGCAGGGGGTGCCGCCCCAAGTGGTCGCCTGGAGGGAAGGGACACACGGCAGGCAAGGACAGCACCTTTGCTTCTGCGTGCTCCTTGTTGCCTCCTCCTGGCCAGGGGGTCTCTGGGGACCAGAGAGGGTGGGACGAGGCTAGCAGAACTCCAAGGGGGGGCCTCCAGGGTGCTGCCTGGGTGGGGAGCAGTTGGATCCAGTGGCAAAGGCAGAGAAGGACGAGGGTGTCCAGGCAGGGGCTCGGCAGTGACACAGGGTGGAGGTGAAGTAGAAAGCTTCAAACTCGGGCTTTGGCAGGGAGCCATGGGGGGGCCACAGAAGGGCTAGAGCGAAGCGGGGGGCACAGCTAGGTTTGAGAGTCGGAAAGAACTTTCTGGGGCTGGTATTGGGGGGCGTGACAGGGAGGTGACAGACTGAGGAAGGACTCTCGAGGGAGCCTAGGTTATGGGGGAGGCGAGGCCTTCAGTGTGGGTAAGCTGGGAGGGCGGGTCTGTGGGGGACCTGCATAGGCCGGACCCCGGGTCACGGGCCTAAGGGCACCCCAGTCCCTCTCCACAGAAGGGAGGGAAGGGGGAACAGGAACCCCTGAGACCCTGCTCCCCACTTGGAGCCCCTGCCCCTGCCCAAAGGCCTCAGGGCATAGAAGCCTGTTTTCTGGCCCAGACGTGGCTGTTGGGGGTGGCTGGTGGGGGGGTTGCTTTCCTCTGTCCCCTCGGCCCCCTCCCCAGCCTGCAGCAGCTTTTCCCCCTCACCACAAGCTCTTCCATCTGCCTTCCCCCACATCAGTGCCCTCCCTGATCAATGTCCCCTCCCCCACATCAGTGCCCTCCCCGATCAATGTCCCCTCCCCCATCAGTGTCCCTCCCTGATCAATGCCCCCTCCCCCACATCAATGCCCCTCCCTGATCAATGTCCCCTCCCCCATCAGTGTCCCTCCCCTGATCAATATCCCCTCTGCCATCAGTATACCCTCTCCCCTGATCAATGTGCATCGATGTCCCCTGATCAATTACCACCCCCACCCCTTCATCTTTCACCATCAGTCCCTTCAGTCCTGAGACAGCTATCACTTTGGCCCCCAGTGGGGGTTCTGAGGGCTCTGACACCCCGCCCCCTCCCGCATGTGATGGGGTCCCCCCTGGCTGAGCAGTTCACACCAGACTCTTTCTGCCCAGAGCCCATCCCGCCTGTGCTCAGCAGATGAGTAAACGAGGGGGCGAAGGGGTTAGGCCCAGGGCCACACGCGGCCAGAGCCTGGACCTCACCCCTGGCACGGCGCTGCCTCAGTCTCCCCCTGACGAAGGAGAGGGCGTTGAGTCGAGGGTGCCCCCCCATCACTGGGGCCAGAGCCTGGCAGCCGGCCTGGGAAGGGAGGAAGGAGAGAGGAAGGGCCGAGGGGAGGCCGGCCACTACTGGGGAGGGCCACGCCCAGCGTCTGTCTGGTTGCCAGAGGAAACCAGACATGAGGTAATGGCCAGGACGAACTTGAACTTGGCTGGAGGTGGGGGCTGGGAGCCGTGGCGCCAGTCCGGTGGGACAGCCCGCAGCTGCAGGCAGCCTGGCTGAAGGCCTGAGTGGTGGGGTACTGCCAGTTTGCAGCACCACTGACCTCGGGGAAGCGGGGTGGTCCCGAGGCCCACCCCAGGCCGGCAGGCCAGGTGCATTTCCAGGGGCAGGTTCTGCACTGCAGCTTCCCTGTGGAGCCAGAGGCCGAAGCTGTCCCTGCCGCTGCCCGCTTGGCCTTTCTCCCAGGTTCTGCACTGCAGCTTCCCTGTGGAGCCAGAGGCCGAAGCTGTCCCTGCCGCTGCCCGCTTGGCCTTTCTCCCCGGGTGTAGGGGCCATGACTCCCTGGAGGGCCGAGGCCGGGGGAGGGGGGGGCGGGGGGTCAGCCTGGGAGGGGGCGGAGCCAAGACTGGAACCTCCCAGCCCCGTGTGTCAGCAGGCTCTGCCCTTCTCATGATAGTGGCCTCAGGAAATGACTTCCCTGAGCCCAGTTTTCTCCACTGTGAAAGAGGGTCCCTCCTTCACAGGGGTTTTGGGAGATCATTAAATGTTTCTTTCAAAGAGAAGAAACAACCGACCGTGGTCCCAGTGCTTGGACAGGTGGCGCCATACGAGGCAGAGTGAAGCCACATCCCCACCCCCCTACCCCCGTTTACACTCAGAGCCATGAGGCTCACGGTTCCCCTTGCCTGATTTAGCAAACAACAACAGGACATTCAGGTGAATTCGAGTTCCAGAAAAGGGAGGATTAACAAAAACAAAAACAAAAGCAAATTTTTTTTTTTTTGGTGTAAGTATATCCCAAAACTTGCAAGGGGTATACTCAGACCACAAGGTGTGTAGGGAGTTCGGACTTCACTGGGCGTCCCGTGTTTTACCTGGCAGCCCGTTCAGGGGTAAAACCACTTGCCCAGGGTCACCCAGCGGGTGATGATAGGTCTGGGATGGGGGGAGACAGTGGCCCCGGGTCCCAGGTGGGCTGAGCTGGATGTGGGCAGCGGCTGAGCCTGACCACTCTCTCTCTCTCTCTCTCTGTCTCTCTCTCTCTGTCTTTCTCTCTCTCTCTCGCTCGCTCTCTCTCGCTCTCTCTCTCTCCCCTCTCTTCTTCGCCGTCCGGGCCAGTCCTGGTATCTGGGGTAAGAAGGATTTCTTCCCACGCCCTGCTCCTTCGTCCCGGGGGGCGCCGCACAGCCGACCCCTGGCCCACGTTTTCGGTGGAAAGTTAGAGCAAGCGAGAACGCCCCGCCGACCCCCAGCCCGGCCGAAAAGACAAAACACACAGACACATCCACGCAAGAGGAAAAAAAAAGGAAAAAAACGCCAAAAAAAAAAATAAATAAAAGACAAACGGGAAAAAAAAGAATCATACAAATAAACCCACCCAAGCAAGAAGACAAAAGGTAAAGACGGCAAAGCTTCAGACTCTCGGGCCACTGCGGCTGGACCTGCCACTCCTCGGGAGAGGGCGCGGCGACGCGGCGACGTGCGGACGGACGCGGCGACGTGCGGACGTGGCGGACAGTGCTGCAGAGGGGTCTCCCTAAGTTATTCATCTCTCGCTGCTGCTCCGGAAGGTGAGCGCAGCCTGGCGCCCGTGCCCAGGCCCCGCGGGGCAGGGCACCCAGCAAGGCCACCTCTCCCCCCCCGCCCCCACCGGCACCGCCTCCCGGACGCTGGCCGGGCCTCCCTGTGGAGGCCGGGGTGGGCAGGGACGGGGCAAGGGCAGAAGAGGGTGTGGGAGACGCCGGGCGTCACCGGGGGACAAGGACACATGGCAGATTCCTTCTCAGGAGGGTCCTGCGGTCGGTCGGTCGGTCGGTCGGTCGGTCGCGGGACCTCCACCCGCCCCAGTGCGTGTGCTGGGCTGGCTCGGGACTCGGTCTTTCTGCCCCACACCTGCCCGCTTGGGAGGAGAAGTCTATGCAATTGCCCCCCAGCCCCACCC